GGTTTTAGGGTTTAGGGTGTACCTGGACCCTGAAGAACGTAGCGTTTTAGGGATCTTTATTATGATTTGTTTATAGAAGTCCTTTAAAAGGTAGGAACTCGGGGGTTAAGGTAGGGTTTAGGGGCTGGGCTAGTTCAGCTTCCAGACTGTTTTCGGAGGACCAGAAGATGTAGACGTAGATACTCTAAACTAACCTGGTTGGCTAGCTCCCTAAACCCCTGCATGACCCGGTAAACCCTAAACCCTAAACACTCAACCCCTCAACCGCCTCAACCCTAAACCGGTAAACCCTAAACCCTAAACCCCTAAAACCCTAAATCATAAACGCCAAAACCAGGTCATGCAAGGCATCCCGTTATAAGTAAGCTAACTATAATTATAACTCATATTAGGGGACTTATAACCCTTCTTATACCCTATACCCAAAACCTAAACCCTAAACCCTACACCCTAAACCCTAAACCCTAAACCCTAAACCCTAAACCCTAAACCCAACACCCTAAACCTAAACCCAATGCAGCCGGAGCTCGGATAAAGGAGCTCGAAGTGTCGCCGATTCGAGGGGAAGGACACTGGGTTGACCTGAAAGGCGGGTCTTAGTCTTTTGGCTTTAGGGTTTAGGGTTTTGGGTTTAGGGTTTAGGGTTTAGTCTTTTGGCTTTAGGGTTTTGGGTTTAGGGTTTAGGGTTTAGTCTTTTGGCTTTAGGGTTTGGGTTTAGGGTTTAGGGGTTAATCTTTTGGCTTTAGGGTTTAGGGTTTAGGGGTTCATCTTTTGGCTTTAGGGTTTAGGGTTTAGGGTGTAGGCTGCAAAGAGCGCAGTAAACGCTAAAAGCCAGCGCTTCAGGTCCATGACTGGTCTCTGGCTTAGGCCTGGAAGTCTAGGTCGAGGGTACACTGTTTAGGGTTTAGGGTTTACCTTAACCCCCAAAATCCTGCCTTTTTAAGGACTTCTATAAAGAAATCATAGTAAGGATCCCTAAAACGGTAGGTTCTTCAGGGCCCAGGTAGGGTTAGGAATTTAGGGCTCGCTCGAGGACCCGATGTACTCAGGGTTCTGGAGATAGGTAGTTTAGGGCCCTTAGGCTACCGGGCTCAAGACGCAACAAGGTAAACCCAAGCTGGACTGATTTTTTGGTGAAGTTGGATTTGATGGTCAAGATAGAGGACTGAATGATTGGCAATCAGACTCGTTAGGTCCTGAATCTACTGGTAAGACAGCATCGTAGGTCAGTTGAGACATGCTTCAAAACTCGGTTCGTCGGTCGTGGTAAGACTCAAGGGTGAGGGTTTAGGGTCTAAACCACCAACCCTAAAAGCCAAAGTGACCTTAAGTTAGAAACCCTAGACCTACAATTCTAAACCCTAAACCCCCAACCCTGAACCCCGAATCCAAAAATGCCCAACTGACCCTAATCTACACACCCTACCACTAGCCGAGACCCCGAATCCCGAAATCCCAAACTGTGCTAAACCCTAAACCCTAAACCCTAAACCCTAAACCCTAATCCCGAAATCCCAAACTGGGGCCCCTAGCGAAGTAGGCTTCGCCAGTCTCGTTGCAGTAGGGCGGGAAGTAGGGCATGCAAGGAACCTGGTGGTCCACCTGGGTTTAGGGTTTAGGGTGTAGGGTTTAGGGTTTAGGGTTTAGGGTTTAGGGTTTAGGATTTAGGGTTTGCGGTTTGGCGTGAAGGGTATAGGGTTTAGGGTTTAGGGTTTAGGGTTTGGGGTTTGGGGTTTAGGGTTTATGGTTTGGGGTTTGGGGTGTGGGGTTTAGGGATTATGGTTTGGAGTTTGGGGTCTAGGGTTCAGGGCTTTTTTTTGATTCAAGGTTCAGGGTTTAGGTTTCGGGTTTGGGGTATGGGGCTTAGGTTTCAGGGTCTAGGGCTTGGGGATTGAAGGTTAAGGCGTAGGGGTTGAGTCGATAGTATTCAGGCCCGGAGGTACCTTGTTCTGCTACAAAGGATGGATTAAGCTGGTGGCGCTGGTGTCTAGGATCTGCAAACTCTGACCTTTCTCAGCGTGTCTCGTGTCCTTACAAGTTAAAAGGTTTAGGGTTTAGGGTCTTCGCCTGCGCTCCTGGCTCTCCGCCACTTGCCCATCAAACCTGAAATTCTGATGCAGAAGCCTGAATGCCTGCGAAAGCTATTCCTTAGGGTTCATGTTCGAAGTAGAGCATGAAAAACCTCAAAATCCTATTATAATTTACTCAGGCCCTTATATTAAGGCCCGCAAATACTGGACCCTAAACGCAGAGGAGGCTTTCAGAAAATGAGCAAACCTAAATATAGACCCTACTACATGATGAGAGCCTCAAAAAAAGGACTCTACCCCGAGGCGGTTCTCCCCTGGGGAAACTTCGGCCAGCGGCCCTGCAATCAATTCTCCGCTCTCTTCTTCTTCAAGCACCGGTATCAACTGCATTAGGTCCTCGACAGCCCCTGGGCAATTTGCAAAATATGCGTAACGCTGGCGTAGCTGGAGTCCCCTCGCCCTGGTAGCAGGGTCTTGCAGCAGGCGCGTCGACGGGCGCCACAGCGGACTCAATGAAACCTCCACCTGGGAAGCACTCGCCAGGCCAGTAAGCAAGTCCCCACTCTGCGGTGAGTCTCCTGGTCCTTCCCACTGCAAGTCCGGCATTTCGGCAGGATCCAAAGCAATCTCCATTGGGCGAACCTGCGGGTGCCGCTTCCTCGACAGCTGCTTCGGGGGCTTCCGCTTCCCCGACAGCGGCCCCCAAACCCTAACCCTAAATCCTAAATCCTAAACCCTAAACCCTAAACTCTAAACTCTAAACCCCAAACCCCCAACCCTCTAATTTGCTGAAACCTCAGGGTTCGCAATAATGCAGGAACCTGCTTAAGAAACCTCTGGGTCTTCATTAGTTATCAGGGTTCCCCTAATATGAGCCCCTTAAAATTTGGGGTTCTAGGCCCTAAACCTTAAACCCTGAACCCTAAGTCCCAAAGTCTAAACCCTAAACCCTCTACCCTGAACCCTAAACTAAATCCCAAGGTCTGAACTCTAAAACCCTAAACCCTAAACCCTAAAACCTTAAAACCCTAAAACCCTAAACCCTGAAACCCTAAAACACTAAACCCCAAGATCAGGCTCCTACACTAGGGAGGAAGCGTCAGACCCCCGAGCAAACTGAGCGAGATTTCGGTTCCAGGGTTTAGGGTTTAGGGTTTAGGGTTTAGGGTTTAGGGTTTAAGGTTTAAGGGTTTAGGGTTTAGGGTTTAGGGGTTTAGGGTTTAGGGTTTAGGGTTTAAGGCCTAGGGCCCCCTCGGGCCTGAGGGCTTAATGTAGAGGCCTGAAGACTTAGAATAGGGTTTCTTTAAGGTATTCCTTACTGTAAAGGGTTCTATAAGGGCTACTATAAGGGTTTAGGGTTTAGGGGCCTTAATGGTTAGAATAAGGGTTTTGGGGTATATTATACTATGATTATACCAAGGAACACCCCAAAATAGCATTGGTAATTGTTAAGGCCCCGATATTCAAGCTTTAGGGTCCCCGATTCAGGCCTTTCGGGTTTAGGGTTTAGGGCGCTCGGGCTCGAGGGGTCTAGGGCCGGAACCCAGTAGTTTTAAGGTTTAGGGTGTAGTCGAGTTTAGGATTTGTCGGGCTTAGGGTTTAGCGGGGTTTGGGGCTTGGGGTTTTCGGGGTTCAGGGCTTCGGGGAGTTTGGGCCCAGTGTGTTATTGAGGTTGGGGGGCGGGGATTCGTGGGATCCAGGGCTCTGGTGTCCGCGTTTGGAGTAACCCTAAACCCTGAACCCCAAACCCTAAACTCCAAACGGCCCTAAGCCCTAAGCCTTGACTCTTTAAACCCTAATTAAGGAATTCAAGTTAAGTGACCATTCTCGGGATCTATAGTGAAATAATATGGTTTCATGATTAAGGTAAACTAAAACAGTAAAACCTAGTTTAGGTTTTATTTATAGGTGCAGGATTCCCCAAACCCAAACCCTGAAACCCTAGACCCTAAACCCCTAAACCCTACTACGCCCTAAACCCTAAACCCAAATCCCTACTCCACCCTAAACCCCAAACTTTAAACCCTAAAACCCTAAACCCTAAACTCCCTAAGCCATAAACCCTAAACCCTATTACACCGCAAAAACTGGGCTCCCCGAGCCTCCACAGAAGCAAAAATCTAGGATAGGGGTATCCCATATAAACTCCCTTTATCATGAAGCCCAATCATAAGGTAGGGATATCCCTATAAAACCCTAAACCCTAAACCCTGAACCCTCTGCGCCTTTTTGGTGTTCGTAAAGGGAAGCAAAAAAAAAACAACCGAGGCCGAGCGGCTGGAAGTCCCCAGTCACCTGAGGCGTTGAAGATCACCTGATAGGACTTTAGGGTTTAGGGTTTAGGGTTTCGGGTTTAGCGTTTAGGGTTCTAGGGTTCGGGGTTTTAGGGTTTAGGCCTTAGGGTTCGGGGTTTTAGGGCTTGGGGGCTTTAGGGTTTTAGGGTTTTTAGGGGATCACCTGGTGGGACTTTGAGGGGCTTGTAAAGCACAAGCCCTACATACTTTAAACCTTACATCCTAACTCTAAACCTCAAAATCTAAACCCCAGAGGCCTCAAAAATCTATAGACCCTATAGTTCTGTTGGGCTTTTAGGGCTCTGTGGTGCGTTGTAAAGCTTTTCTGGGGGCCGGGGGGGAGTTAGGGCTTTAGGGCTGTAGGGGATCGTTGGTCTTTGATGGCTTTTTTGGGCTTTAGGGCTTTTTCGGGTTTAGGGCGTTTTGGGGCTTTAGGGCTTTTTCGGGCTTTAGGGTTTAGGGTTCCGGGCTTCAGGGCTTTAGGGCTTTAGGGTTTTGGAGTTTAGCGGATTTAGGGCTTTAGGGCTTGAGGCCTTTAGGGGAGTTTTGTTGAAAAGTAGAGAGTGAGACACGGGACAGAGAGAGAGAGAGAGTGAGAAAGAACAAAAAAGGACGAAAAAAAGACATGAATAAACCAAGAACGAAAGAACGAAAGAAAGAAAGACCGAGATACAGAGAGACAGATCGACTTACTAAGGCTTGGGGAGGCTATATCTCATAAAACTAGTAGGGGACATTGCAGGAACCATTCAGTCTCTCCTTGTCGCGTGGCCCGCGCCTGCCACACGTTCTCCGGGTCGTCGCGCGGCATGGGCCGCACGGGATTCCGCGCCCAGACGAGGACATAGAAGCCTTAACGGTTTAGGGTTTAGGGTTAAAGTGGGTTTAGGGTTACAGAACCAACACATCGGAATCTGTAGATAGTTTGGTATTTTGTGGGGGACGAAGAGACTACGGACTGCGTGGATGTACCAGGGTAGTATTGCTTATTCAGAGCTCTGCATATTTCCAGGGCCGCCACGAGGAACACGTAACAGAGACCCGGTGTCTAAGCTTAAGAAGTGCCGCTGAGGGATGGGGTTCTTCGGTTTTGATCTGGGTGGGAGAGCGGTTTAGGGTTTAGAGTTTAGGAAGTCAAAGCTCAAGGTCCCCGAAACCCTAAACCCCTCTACAGTTTCAGGCAAGGGAGCCGAATCACATTTTGAAGGAAACCCCACACAACCACTGCGAAAGTCTACAGGAATCGTGAAGAAAAGTCGATGAAAACAGCATATAAAGCAAAATATGACAATGACGACCCTGCAACCTAAGTCAGAAGCCGTCGAGCCCAACAGTGACCGAACAAACAGCAGGGAAGTACGAGCCCCTTACTCAAAAACTGCGCGCTTGCTGGTTTAAGGAACATAGGGGTTTGGCACAGCCTAAACCCTAAAACCCTAAACCCAAAACCCCAACTAAACCCCTAAAATCCTAAACCCCTAAACCCGCAAACCCTAAACCCTAAACCCAAAACCGCCTAAACCCTAAACCCTAAATCCAAAAAAAACGCCCCAAAAAAAACCGGAGCTTCCTGAGCCGCAAGGCGCTGCTTGTCGTAGAGCGCCATGTCTGGGGTGAAGTAGAAGATGCACCTGCGGGTTTAGGGGTTTAAGGGTTCAGGGTTTAGGGGGTTTTGGGGTTTTGGGTTTAGGGGGTTTTGGGTTTAGAGTTTAGGGTTTAGGCGTTTAGGGTTTAGGGTTTTCACGGTTCAGGGTTTAAGGGTTTAGGGCTTTCAGGGTTTAGGGTTTAGGGTTTAGGTCTCAAGGCTCCTTCCTGCTGAAACCGTCTCATTCTTCAGACGTTGGGGGTGTCGGCCCGGGCCACGCAGGTGCATGAGCCTTTCCGTTAAAGCCCTAAACCCAAAAAATCCAAACCCTAAACCCCAAACCCAACCCAAAAACCCCTAAACCCTAAACCCAAAAACCCAAAAACCCTAAACCATAAAGGGAAGAACCAGCATCCTCAAGATAGTTGCGAGTTAGGATTCGGGGGACCCTTGAGGATCTAGACCCTCTCAGTAAGGTCCCTCTGTAGAGAGCCAGAAGTAGGTTTCAGAAGGGTACCCTTTAAGGAGGTCTCCCTCATACCACCTTGGAGATAAATGGAGGAAGAGGAACCAGCACTGAGGCCATCTTATTCGGGTCGTCTGCAAGGAGTTTGAGAATGAACCGGCCGGACATAGCAGCAATGGACGGGGTTTAGGGTGACCCCCAGATTTTAGGCATTGGATTGCGCAGGAATACTCTCAGACCTATCTAAAGCAAGAAAACACAACAGAAAGTATGTACGTGTCTTCTGGCTGCCAGTGCAGCATCTTACTCCGCAGCCCTCGGCGGCTGCAACAAATTCTCAAGTCGGCACCCGAAACGTGAAACCCTCCGAGCTTCAGAGAACAAGGGACCTCAATAAGCGGACCCGACAGAATAGGGTTTAGGGTTTAGGGACCTCGATGAGGGGATCCGACTGAATAGGCCCGGAAACGGCTCCTTGGAATTCAGAAACTCCCATTTGGTCGAGGTGCTTGTTGTCCACGAATTCCCAGTCTCCGCTTGGGTAGATCACACCCGGTGCGCTCCTTGTGCTGGGGAGTTGCCGAGGTTTAGGGTTCAGGGTTTAAGGTTTAGTCCTCAACCATGTACACCCCAGACCCTGAACCCTACTGACCTAGAAAGCCTAAACACACACCAAACATCCTAAAACCCTAAACCCCACCTCTACTAAATGGGGTCTTGTGGTTCATTACAGCATAGTTACAATCAGGAACAATACTGGAGATTATTTAGGTCCCTAGATTCGACCACTAATAGGTTTCCAATCTTGTAGCCGACCCACACCTAAACCTTGTACCCAAACCCCTCAACGCAAAACCTTCCACCGCACTGCGGGTTTGGAGTTAAGGAGTAAGTCCAGTTGATGATTGCCCTCCATCTTGTTTAGGAGTTTGGATTAGGGGGACCCTTGGGGATATAGACCCTCTCAACCAGGCCTTCTTTATTAGAGCCAAAGGGTGAGGTTAAGAAGGGCCCCCTTTTGATTTTAAGGGATCTCCTTAATACTACCTAGGATTGTTGCAGCAACCCTACTCTGGGCAAGTCGAGAGAGTTTTTCCTAAACCCTAAACCTTCAACCCTACACCCTAAAACCCTGAAGCACTAAAAACCCTAAAACCCTAAACCCTAAAACCCTCAACCCTCAACCCCAAAACCCTAAACCGTAAACCTCAAACTAAACCCTAAACCCTCAAAACCCTCAAACCCCTAAACCCTAAACTCCTAAGCCCTAAACCCTAAAAACCCTACTAAAAAACCTAAAACCCTAAACCCTAATACCCTAAACCCTAAACCCTATAAACCCTAAATCCTAGGCGGCTGGAGTCGAGAGATTTCGACTCTAAAAGTCTCTTCTCGGTTGCTAAGCCTCAAGGTCCGCTTGACTCGACAGCACTTGCTGAGAAAATCGAACCTTTCATATCAAGGGTTAAAGGAAACTACAGGGTGCTGCCGGCTGTGCCTCAAGGAGTCGACTTCGGGGCTTCGCTTTACGTTTCCCGAAGCCTCTTAGGGTTTTTAGGGATTTAGGGCTTTAGGGTTTTAGGGTTTAGGGCTTTGGGGGTTTAGGGGTGTAGGGTTCAGGGGTTTAGGGTTTTAGGGTTTAGGGTTTAGGGTTCAGGGTTTAGGGCTTTAGGGGTTCAGGGGTTTTGGGGTTTAGGGGTTTAGGGGTTTTAGCGGGTTTAGGGGTTTAGGGGTTTAGGGGTTTAGGGTTTAGGGTCATGAAGTCTCGCGTAGGATGGGAGGCCTGGTAGAGTTTAGGCTGAAGGGCCTGCCATTAGAATACGGAAAGAGCGCACGGCAACACGTGCGGCTGGAATGGCCCAAGCCCTGGACAGGCCTCCGCCAGTCTTTCCGTTTTGTAAGGTAGGGGCCTTAATAACTAGAACTGGGTTCGGGGGTACATTATACTATAATTATAATAAGGAACCACCAAAATAGTATAGGTCCTATAGGTAACTATTTGGGCCCCTATGGTGTTGTTGATCTGTGGGAGGATCATGGCTTCGACGGAAGTTACGACTGGCCACCCCCAAATCCTAAACCCCCAAAAAGCGCCGAACCCAATGCTTTAGGGTTTAGGGTTTAGGGTTTAGGGGTTTAGGGGTTTGGGGTCTAGGCTTCTTCGAGAGCTACCCGGCAGATACCCAAAACCCTCTACTTGCCCAGAAAGCTGCCCCAACCCCTTTACTTCCTTAAACAAACCCTGTCCATAAAACCGCATCTTGGAGCAAGACTGGTTCCCGCCCTCGCGGACGTCCGCGCCGGGGAGCAGCCCTTTACCCTGGAAGCTGTGGGGTTTCAATTGTTTGTGTATAGCTCCGAGTTCGGCAGCGCTACTTCCTACATTCAGCTCCCTTGACGCGTAGATTTAGGGGTCCTCCCAAGGGGAGTGTGTAAACTTTACTGCTGAGGCATTCCATGTTGCTCTTGTTCAATGACACCTCAACCCTAAAAACTAAACCGTAAGTGTTGACCTAACCGAACCGGAGGGGCCTAAAGGACTAAACCCTAAACCCTAAACCCTAAGCCCTAAACCCTAAACCCTAAACCCTAAACCGAGTATCTAATAACAATAAACTCTCGCCCCCAACCCCTTGAAAGAAGATACAACACTGCAGTCCTACTGTCCTAAACAAGCACCCTTAGGGTTTACGGTTTAGGGTTTAGGGTTAGGGTTTAGGGTTTAGGGTTTAGGGTTTAGGGTTTAGGGTTTAGGGTTAACCTTCTATTATCCACGAATCAACAGCGCCTACTTCTGCTGTTTGTGGCTGTACCTGCAAGTAGAGCTGCCCAAGCTTCGAAACCCCAAAATCACGAAACCCCGAACCTCTGAACTCTGAAACAATAAAGTTGAAGCCCTAAATGCCCTCGAGCAAAAGGCCTAAACAAACGGCTGAAGTCAGAAAAGCCTCGAGGCCTAAACCACTAAACCAAATGTAGGGGCCTTAGTGATTAAAATAAGGATTTTGGGGGGGTTCCTTATTCTAACTACAGTATGATATACCTCAAAACCCTATTCTAATTATTAAGGCCCCCATATAAGGAAAACCTTCCTCTCGCGGCCGCATCTCAGCATGCCGAAATGATCTCAAACCCGTAAAGCCTCAGGCCCCCACGCCCACCCGAAGCCTCTAAACTCGAAACCAAAAAAAAGCCCTAAACCCTCAACTCGAAACCTGCCCGTTCCCAAAGCCGTGAACCCGGGAGCCTGCGGGGATGTGACCGACCTGGGACTTTTAGGGGTAATGAGCTTTAGGGTTTAGGGTTTAGGGTTTAGGGTTTTTTTTTTTAAAAGTGCAGTGGCTCCCTTTCTCCGCAAGAAGTCGGCGCCTGCCTGTGTACCAGGCTTGCACTAGGTGGCGGGAATGTACATGTGGCCGCCGCAATGAAACTGTCATACATGATAACAGGCTGCAACAAACAGGAGCACAGCTCAGAGTCAGATGCCATCTTTACACTACGGGCAACAAGCTCAAGTATCTCGGCTACGGCTTCTCTCAGGGCCCTCATCAGTGTGCTCAGAAACTTCCCATCGAGCTTCCATACTACCATCGCTACCCGACACATTCTGGCCCGCATGTACTTGATGATCCTCTCCCTGTGGTGGCCGAGCATGGCGTTCTTGACGAGCTTCCCGAAGAACTGGGCCTGGGCGCGGTACTCGCTGACGTCGTCGATGAAGGCCTCCTTGTCGACCGGGTAGATGATCAGGTGGTGGTACTCCATCAAGGCAGGCGAGGTCGCTGGTGTTGTCGGACTGAACCAGATAGAGCGCCTCATCTTCCTCTGACACCCAACGGCCTTCCGGCACATTCACCCCAGCACGGTGATGCAGGGCCCGGGCATGGTGTCGCCATAGTCTCCGACGTAGTCCCACCACCGTGCGCCGCTGCAGCTGGGGCAGGCTGGCCCAGAGTGCGTCCAGTGTCTGAGGTAAGCCCGGGCGTAGCAGTACCGCTAAGGAGTCCACTTCATGGGTGGTGCCTGATGAAGATGCCGACGAGCCATAGGATGCCTCGCTCGAGATGCGATGCCAGATGCGAGCATCCATGGTAGGACCATTGAGGACGGGAGCATTGGCTGCCGTCTGCACCCAGGGTAGGGCTTCCTCAATTGCCACCCCTGTCAGCCTCAGCAAGTGCTGGAGTTGGCGCTGTCTGGCAAGAAGGCGGCTGATGACGTCCACCACATCGGCGGGGTTGGCCATGATCATTTCCCTCTGTACTGTGTCACGGACCACGTCTGCTGGTTGCAACACCGAGGAGGAGGTCGTGGTGGTGGAAGAGGAACAAAGGGAAAACATCACCCCATTGGTAAAACAGCCACCCTCAATGTTGCAGTCAGGTGCGGCCTCCGGGTCGAAAAGCAACAGTGAGGATGTTGATGTTGCATATTGTTGGTTGCCTCCAGAACAGGTCGTCGTGGTAGAGGAGCTTGTGGATGGCGTAGGCACCGTTGACGATCTTCTCACCATTCTTTGGGCCAGGTCAACATGTGGGCGCCCGTTGCTGGTTGCCTCCTCATCATTGGCCGGCTCTGCCCATACACCAAGGAGTTCGCCTTGTAGAGCTCGTTGTACGTCGGGGCCAAGTGGTGGCGGTGGTAGATTGACTGGCACAGGCGGAGGCGGCCCATACGGTTCAGCTCGCTCTGGTGCAGGAACCACTCGACGAAGGGTTCCGTCACTGTCACATGCAAACTCACTCAAGGTCGGCGAAGGGTCACGACCTCCACGGGAGCGCGAACGACTCCTGACCCGCACACTCGGTGAGGACGAAGACGAGGAAGATGATCCAGCCATATCACCCTCCACTTGGTCTGAAGATTGTCCCCCTGAACTCACCCCAGTTGTTTGAGGTCCGTTGGTTTCGCCATGTGACGACGAGGGAGCACTGTGCGGTTCCACTGGTGTGTCTACCAAGGTTCTCTCAGAGGCCAACATAGGGGGAATGGGGACATTGGGCAGGTCCGGCACGTCAAGGAATTCACTGTTTTGTAGGATCATACCAAGGTGTCTCTCCAAGCTTTGGAGGAACATCGTGGTGTACTGACGTACCCAAGCAAAGAAGCGCTGCCGTTCTTCTTCTCGTCTTGGCACCCTGATGATTGGGAGGAACCCACGAGGGCGAAGCCGTCGACCAAGTATCTCCATCATCGCGTCGAGTGCTTGCAGCCCGTCCTCTGCTCGTTGTAGGAGACGCGCCAGTGCCCATCTCGCTTCTGGACCCGTGTCTCCTTGGTTGTGCAGGTCCAGCCTGTCGAGGAGTTCTTCCACACGCTGGATGACCTGAGTGGGCACGCCATTCTCCTGGAGTGTCGCCCTTTCAGCTGCATTGTTACGACCTCATCCGTGTGCTCAGCGGCGATGGGTCGCACTATGGGGTAGAGGCCGTAGTTCAGCAGGAAGGTGGTGTCCGGCGGGAAGGCGGTGTTGTTGATCGTGGTCGTCGTTGTAGAGGAGGTCCACGTCCATGCTGTCCACGAAGAGGATTCTTCCCACTGCCACCACCCCCACCAGTTGTTGTTCCATTGATGTTGAGCCATCCACGGGTCCTCGTCAGTCAGCTCTGTTGGTTCGGCAGATGGGTCAGGTTCCAGGTTTACAATCGTGCCGTTGTCAGTCTTGGCCATGGTCTCCTCGATCTGGGTCTCCACCGTTTCCTGGAGGTCCTGCTCAGGCACTTCCCCCTCCGTTCCCGTCTGTTCATCGGCCATCTCACGTTTGCGCTTGTCATCGATGTACCTGTTGAGCCACGCCGGTTTCCACTGGCCTGCCCAATAGGCGTTCATACGGGCAGCCTTCCGCTGTGAACGTTGGGGACCCATTCCACCCCTGTGTGCTCGCTGTTCAGCCGCCGTGCGTTGTCTCGGCTGCCATTCACCCCCTCTCCAGAATCCTGTAGGCGAGGAAGAGGGCTGTGAGGAGGAGCTATGGTCACCAATATCACCCCGGCTGGTCGGTGCGTAGTCCTCGGTGGTCGAAGTCACCCCTCCCGTAGCCGTTGAGTTCCCTTCACCAGACGGGGGATCACAGCGGACGTTGAAGCTCGTCCCATAGAAAGTCGTGCCTCGAACACAGTGCCCTTGGTTGACAGACGTCACCCCAGTAATGGTAAAGGCACCTGCGGGCTGTTGCATCGACGAGGAAGAGGAGGACGATGAGCAGGCTTCTTGTTCCGCTTGGCGCTGACGTTGTATCTCTTCTTGACGGCGGTTCCTGATAGATCCATCCGGGTGGTGCCAGCGGCGGTCGATACCAGGGCGCGTGCGTCCGCCTCGTTGGGTGATTCCTTGAGATGGGTCGTCTTCCGAGTCAGGTGGCGCAGGCACTGAAGGTGAGGTCAGCGAACTGGGGTCACGCCCATGTGGCGGCCTGGGGTGGCGAAGGGCTCGGCGGAGGTTCCTGTCGTCCAGAATGGCCTCTACCCAGTCGACCCCAGATGGTTGCTGGTGCGCAGACCGTGTTGGCGGAGGGGAAGCCGACGAGATGCCAGGCGCCGCTTCGCGATCATTGGAGGAGCCAGCCAAGGTAGAGCCAAAGGGTAGCGGTAGCTCCTCAGGGATCGGGGCCAGTGGTCGTACATGTTGGTGATCATCTGGAGGTGCATGAGCTTCTTGTAGTTCTTGTTCCTGAAGATGCCAGCTTATATTCTCGTCCCACTTGGTCTGCGTGTGCACGTTCTGGTCAGTCAGGTCGAGGACGAGCGGCGGGCATGTAGAAGAGGAAGACGGCGAAGAAGACACCCCCTGTACAAGATCACCCTGAACTTGTGGCTGTTGCGGGGGTCGCGTGTGCACGTTCTGGTCGGTCTGGTCGAAGACAAGCGGTGGGCACCTAGAGGAGGAGGACGTCGAAGAAGACACCCCCAGTACCAGATCATCCTGAACTTGTGGCTGTTGTGTGGGTCGCGAGGAGCAAGAGGTCGACGCTGTTGCTGGTTGTGAGGAGGAGGCCGGTTGATCATGAGCTTGCTGATCTTCCCATGCATCTTGTCCTTCATAAGGATGAGAGGGCGAGGTCCAGGACGTGTTTTCCCAGGCTTCAGCCATTCTTGTTGCTATCTCCTGGGGGCTCCATCTTTGCCAGTAGCCATATTGTTCAGGTTGTAGACGGCGACGGTGTACACCAGCCGAGCCGGACAGGAGCAGCAGGAGGTAGAACACGAAGAGGGACCAGGCGGAGCGCCGCGCAAGGGGCCGCGCCATCACGTAGAGAAAAGGCGAGGTGCGAAGGTTTTCCGAGAACACCTGGAGCCACAGCATCACGGGGACGCGGAGGTTCATAGTCATCACGATGGTTTCGGCTGTTTCAGAGAACATGTTGCAGGCATCAGAACAAGATGTAGGGTACAGGTCAAAGGTGCAGGGGCAGAAGTGCAGACAGGCAAGGTGCAAAGGGACCGCATGGACAGCTGCTCGCCGAGCCAACTACCAACTAAGTCAAGATCATGTACTCAATCGTTTGGGAGCAAACAATTTCATTGACGATCCCGAGAGAGCTAGTAGCGGAGAGAGAGCTGACGCCCCGAGGACCACTTGACATCCCACTCAGCAATATACGCGTTTCTTTCTTGACACCATCTGCCACGATCTTGTGCTACGACATGCCATAGTGTGCCATGTGTGCTGGCCAATTGCCGTTCCGTGCACGATGCATAGAACCGTCTGGGATGACGAAGACCAACGGTTGGGCTCAGTGCCTGTTGTCCCCGCCACCACTGCGTGCATCTCCAGAGAATAGCCCGAAGAGGTGCACTTGAGCACGGTGTGCCGGCGACGTCTTCAATCCTTCTGGCCCAGTGTCCATGTAGCATATGCTGAAGAGCAAGGATACGCCCCGACCAGCGATCGACACCATTGTTTACGAGCCACACTCGCACAAACCTCATGGTGCGGGCGTTCCAGTCAGCCCAGGTTTCTTGAGCTGCCCGCCGAAGCCCGAAGGATGAGCGGCAAACATGTCACTGAAGGACATTTAAGCTGTGAAGGTCATCTTGTGACCAATGAAGCGCCCCACCTATCCAGTTGAACTGTGCCTCAATGAGCGTTCTCATGATGGAAGTCTTCTGTTTCCAGGATCCCGTGGCTTGAAGGATGTCTCGGTTAGCGGCCGCAGCTGTGCGAACCCTGGCGATAATTTCCTTGGCTTGTTCCGAAGGATCGTCTGCCAAGGAGAAGTTCACCCCCAGGACTCTCACGGCGTCACCCCTGGGAGCAATCTCATAGA